TATTATTTTTTCGTTTTATTTATTTCTTATTTATTGATGATTTGTATTGTATTGATGTGTATTGAGATATTGATTCTCTAGTTTGTATTGAAATATTGATTCTCTAGTTTGTATTTTGTTTAAATTTTTCCCATAGTTTTATAAAGGATTTGTTTTGTATTTGGTGAATTGAATTGTGTATCATGACCACCATTTCAAGTGTTGTCTTCATGTATTTTTCTTTAGTAAAGGCTTTGTATTTTGTGTTAAATTTTAGTTGGATTCTACATTGCTGTTAAAAGGTTTTCCCATATTAAGATTTTATTTCTGTGAGTATGTACTTGCATCTGTGCTAAAGGGTATTCCTTTTTTTAAAGAGTTTTAATGTTCATCATACTGTTTCCAGTTTCTTAATTTCATTCCTAAATTCAGTTACTAGGAGATTCTGTACTATTTTGATATAAATATCTTGTTGAACCTCCTGTTATTTAGTAAACATATGCAAATATTTTGAGATTTACTCAGTTTTGCCTTAACATACCACAATATCGCTAGGGGATGACATTTCAGCAATTATTCAAAGATACTACAAGCAGTGTCGATTTCTGTGTCTATCCTCGAAACAGTATTGGATACTACAACATATAACATATCTTTAGGAAATACCCGAGCCTCTGTTGCAATGGGATCCTTCAAGTGATGTATATTTGCTGGGTTGTAATGATAGACCCACATCTTTACAAAGCCATCTAGCCAATAGTTTCTCTACAGCAATGTCAATTGATGTTTGTGGATGCTCTCCACATCTTTACAAAGCCATCTAGACAATAGTTTCTCTACAGCAATGTAAATTGATGTTTGTGGATGCTCTCCACATATTTACAAAGCCATCTAGACAATAGTTTCTCTACAGCAATGTCAATTGATGTTTGTGGATGCTCTCCACATCTTTACAAAGCCATCTAGACAATAGTTTCTCTACAGCAATGTCAATTTATGTTTGTGGATGCTCTCCACATAATTACAAAGCCATCTAGACAATAGTTTCTCTACAGCAATGTCAATTGATGTTTGTGGATGCTCAGACCTTGGACCCATGCCTTTTGCTTTGAACAACAGCTGTGTATGATTTATATCTTCCGTTAGTCCTAAACTGGTATGCCCGGAATGTTGTTCTAGTGTTGTAGTCAGTTTTATGTTACAATTACAGCAACATGATTGTTATTCATACTTTTAGTTTTGTATTTTCCACTGTTATCAACAAAATAACAGTTGCCTATTTCAGTTTGAGCTTATACGCCATGCTCATTTGCGTTTAGATATGTGTGGAGCTCCTTAGTTCCATTTCCAAAAACCATGAATACCACCCCATACTCTATTATGTACGTACGCAAAAATATTTCGCTCAGCATGTCACACACGTCGCCCTAAAGACTGTTCAAAATGCCTGTATATAGGACGACAGTAATCCGACTACAATCATACAGCAAGACTACATTAAGCTAACATTAAATTATGTATTATTGCTACAATGACATAATATGAATACAGTTATGATACAATAAAAGGTATGAGACAATTCTGGTTTTCATGATATGACATATCTACAATATGATAGTGCATATCTACATAGTAAATACATATACATACTGTGTAATTGTCCGCTGACAGACATTTTCTAAATACCAAGTCTTGAATTAAGTTATCTTCGAATAGGTTAAATATAAAATACTGATTGCTAGTTATAATATTATTTATATCCAGTAATTCTGTTTACAGATATGATATTATGAACTACCAGAAAATAGACAACAAGTACGACTACGTTAAGGTCGGTTCCTGGATAAACACAGTGTTGAAAATTGATAAGCCAGTCCAGTGGGGGAGCATTACAAGTGTGGGTAGTGAGCCTCCTGAATCAGTTTGCAGCAAACCGTGTTCAAGAGGTGAAATCAAGGTAATACATTTATTCAATATTAATTGTATCACATTTGACAGCTATACAATTATACATGAATTACTTTAGAATTACTTAATACAGTACTTAATACAGTTTTATATTATATTTATTGATGCGTAAGATTACAATAATTTCTTCGAAAATGTAAAATATAATTCTATGAATTCACTTTATTTTTCGTTATATTATAGAATTTCTAAAAAATATATTTTTTTTATTTAACTAATGGTCAAACAGCTTAATATTTGCTTGCATATCGAATATTTTACGGGTAATATAAGTTCCTCGGTGGGCAGCGGTAAGTCCTCCGACTTACAATGCTAGAATCAGGGGTTTGATTCCCCTGGGTGGACACAGCAGATACCCCAATGTGGCTTTGCTATAAGAATAAAAAAGCGCACACACACGGGTAAAAAACAAAAGACCATCTCAGTGGCCAGGGGTATGTCTGCGGACTTACAATGATACAAATCGGGTTTCGATACCCGTGGTGGGCAAGCCACAGATAGCCCGTTGTGTAGCTTTGTGCTTAATTACAAACAAACATCTCAGATAAAATATATACTACGTGATATCAACTGATTAATTAACAGACTTTATAATTACTGTCCTTTTCTCTTGTAGCTTTAGCAGTCTGTAGTTAAGTAAGCGAAACTTTCAGATGTGAAAAGCTAATATATATACTACGTGATACCAACTGATTAATTAACAGACTTTATAATTACTGTCCTTTTCTCTTGTAGCTTTAGCTGTCTGTAGTTAAGTAAGCGAAACTTTCAGATGTGAAAAGCTAATATATATACTACGTGATACCAACTGATTAATTAACAGACTTTATAATTACTGTCCTTTTCTCTTGTAGCTTTAGCTGTCTGTAGTTAAGTAAGCGAAACTTTCAGATGTGAAAAGCTAATGATTAGGCTGGCCTTTCTTCATTTGAACTGTCACTGTTCTTCCTGGCCATTACCGTGTCCAAAGTACACCAACAACGCGGTGGCTCGTTTTCCTCGAGAAAACACTTTCGTTGAACTAAAAGATAGACTCGCTGAAGCGTACTAATATCCTGACTTTTTTACCAACGAGTGACAGATGACCGTTCATTGTTACCAGTATCACTGTCATTAAGTTGGTTTGTTTTTGGTGAGGAGCGCAGATCTTATGCGTTGTCATTTTCAAGAGTTCTCGAGTAATTTATGTATAGAACGTATTCAACATTTTTTAATACGAAGATCATAAATGAAAACTTTTATATCCGACAGTTACTTTTACTTGAATTTGTTAATTTTAATTTTTACATTTGCTTGAACTGTTAGGTCATCTTTAATTCATTCATTGTTATTCACTTCCTAATACTTATAAACTAATTACTTCTTTGAGTATTTGCGAGAATGTACTTTCAGCATTTTCACGAGCGTAAAAAACGTAAACTGGAGAAGAAAGCTCATTTACAATTTGAAAAAAAAAGAAACACGAAAGGACGCAATTTTCCATCAATTAATAACCTACAAAATCATAAACCAACTATAACCTTAGAAAACTTTGTGGACTTAAACACCCCTTTTCCAAATTAACCTGTTTACTATTATAACTATTCATGTTGCAAAATTATGAAAATGTGGAAAATTATGAACGGTCTCCAATTTCAAATAGTTATTTTTATTTTTAACGATATCTACTTGTAATTTTCTGACGTTCCTATTTTCACATGGAAATATGTGTCACCTAAAATAGCTAACAATAATAATAAGATCTCTTTATTCTCATTCTAATGGAATAAGCAAGGCAGTTAAAGAAACGTTTGTGAATTTATTTTCGTTCATTTGAAAATCAGATTCGTAAACCGCGTGCTATATTTCACTAAACTCTAAAACAAACACGCTTCACTTAATAGTTTCAGAGAGTAAGTTTTACTTATTTTTTATATGTATGATCTCTTGAGGTATTTCTTGACTCACTACAATGATAAATTGAATGATAAGATGGATTTCAAGTTTCGTTTTACTTATCTATTTGTTTCTGATATTACCAGAAACTATTTGATGAATCTACTTTAATGTTATGGAATTAAATGAAACTTTCTGAATTGTGACTGTTTAACAAATTTTGCAAATGTGAATATTAAGGCTACACAAAACAAATATTTTTTTTGTGTGTGAATGACATCTTGTTTGATCGTTTTATTGTAACATTTTATAGCCTTTTGCTTTACCTCTAGCGAGATATATTCTGTTTGAAGACAATATTTTTATATTTTAAAATTGAGATATGAATATTTCTTCTACTACTACTACATTCCTATTTTGTTTACAAACATGGTCGTGGTTGATTTTCATCTTTACAGTTGTACTTGTTATATGGCCAGTAATAAGAATGAGTGGGAAAATTTTATTTAGGTTTCTCACTTTCAATTTGGAACGGAAATTGAGCTATTTTACCTCTTAACTATTATATTTATATAAGAAAACAATACCATAATATAGTAACTGCAAGAAAGCTGAGATAAAACGTAATAATGTGCATTTTTATGTCTTTCTACACAGGAGAGTTTTTTTGTGTGTAAAATCGTTAAGCATAAAGCGTCACAATGGGCTATATGTGCCAACCACTAGTATCGAAACCCGATTTTTAGCGGTGTGTACCCTCAAACTTATCGTTGAGCTACTCAAGGCCGGGCTTATAGAGAGAAAGGGAGGGAGACATATTGCTTTTTTCCCATGTTTCTCCTTTCTAATAATTACAATTGTTCGTCCCACCTTTGCTTTTAGACCAATTATTTTGAAGCGTAGGGAACATGTATCTTGTTTCAATACCTATTTTGAAACGTAAAGGCAAATACATACAAACCGATTTTTCTTTTCTGTTTTTGCTTTAATATCCATTTTTGATGTTATATAGTCAAGCATAAAAGCAAATAATATTTTGGCCTGTATCTCTCATGTATTTCCATTAAATCAGAAGAAACTTGGCACAAAGATACATTGCAACAACCTCCACAGACTAAAGGAGACAGTTAGGATTTGTGACTTTCTTTTACATTTATAGGGATTAAAGTTGAAAAACTTCGCAATGCATGTAACAAGGAGCACTGAACCTAGCGGGTTCAGGTGGTTCAGAGGTAATTCTAAGGGATTATAACGCTAAAAAATCGAGTTTCGATGCCCGTGGCGGGCAGAGCATGGATAGCCCATTGTTTTGCTTTGTGCTTAACAACAGAACAAACAAACTAAACCTAAAGACACTCATGCATTTTAAAACCTTACAATAGATTGTTGCTAATAGTGATTTGATTACCACAGTGCTATAAATTGCTATTACAGTGTCAAAGAATATGTCTGATTTACTCAATCATTACCTGTAATTTTTTTCTCCTTGTGAATAAATCTGTTTATTCAAAATGTATATTATGAGGTCACAATGTAGTATGTTTTAATATATCATTTTTCACTAATATATCAAGTTGGTAATATTTTAAGAGTATATCCCTGTGAACTATATATACACATGTTGTACTTCACGGCCCTCTCTCTCTCTTGGGAATACCATTTTCTCTTGAAATCTGTTGTATCCTGAGAAGATTATCGAATAACCTAGATGGGTAGAAGAGAGCATATTGCATTAGCTTTTAGTCTTAACTGTGGATATTGAAGTAAAATACAACCTATGTATTGATACATACAACGTTTCGGGATATGCCCTGTACTTCAGTAGTGTTATTAAATACAGGTTCAAATCATTTCATTCTGTCGTTTCAAATAACTGGTATAATATCAATCACATCAGTTTTGTAGCCCACCTAACCAGAAAAGATTTTAAATTGAACTTTCAGATTTCCCGCTCTCTTTCAGATCCTATATATTGTAAACTGTGAACCTGACATAACAAAATATATCTCAAAGTCTTATGAAAAACAATTTTTTTTGCTATCGCCACCACACAGTAATGACTTATGGTATTTCCAACTCAGACTGCCTATCAGAGAAATTTATTGCATCCACTTCACTATTTGAAACATAAACTACGCCTACTACTCTGCTCTTTGTGACAAAAGAAGAAATAAAACAAATAAACTCGAAAATCTCAACATTACACTTGTAAATAATTTACAACCAGTTTTAAACTGCTCCTTAAAAAAGGTGAAATGTGTGATCGTCATTTCTCCAATTATGAAATATATTTACAAGCAAGAGGATTAAAATTTCTAGCCAACAGTTCAAATATTAGCGAATTTTGTGCCAAGTAAGAATGTAAGCTATTTTTGAATCCAAGAACGTTTCTATATTATAGTGACGTACTTAAGAAGCTACTTACTACCTCAAACGATATAGAAAAACAACACAAAATGATTAATCACGTTTATCACTAGATTCTTCCTCTAAATTAGAACACCTAATTAGTAAATATATCCTATCTATTGCATGTTTCTTATTTCTTGACAAATTCATCAAGTACCATTCTGACACAAACAAAATAAATTTAAAACACAACTTTATTAAGTAACTAATGTTCCTGAGTTAATATAGTTAACTATCTAATTAAGAGTATTAAATGTAAAACAAACGATTCTGGTGTTTTAGAATGTACTGGTTAATTAGTGGTTACCCCCCACTCAGTTTATATAAATCTAATCAAAAACATCTTAGGTGTGAAAAAACGTTGCGGCTAAAAAAAAAGAAAAAAAAAGGATTGAGTGTGTGTGACTTAAAGGAATGAAATCAAAATTGGCTGACAAACTGATATCCACGCTTATAACACTGATAAGAAATTTACCGCAAATATTCATTAATTAGTTAGCCAGGCCGCGATTTTGGTCCAATTTTGGGCATGATGGTGGGTAAAACAAAATGATTTCATTCGCACAAAAATAACCCCGAGGGATAGAGCATGAAATAAGTTCCAGTTGTTTAGCATTACTTCTAAAGATTATAATGATATTTGTTCATCGCAAATTTATTTAGTTTAACGAACTACAAAAAAGAGAAAACCAATTAGTATATAATGTAGAATGCATCACATCTTATCACAAACATAAAGCATCTCTCTTTACATTTGGCTTATGATACAAGCTTATGTTTCTTAGTTTGAAAAAACAACAACAACAAAACTCGCATGTTGTTCTGTTCTTGGGATTTACGTTAACTCTTTCTGTATCAAATGAATTAATTGGCAGAGAATGAATTAATGCATTGCTTATATTACCTTAAGACTAACAAATATGGAATACATACAGTTCCTTGCCCAATATATCCTCACATGTAGTCATACAGGAAAGGAGCATTAGTCACCATTGTCTTAATACAATACCACCCTTGTCTTAATACAATACCATACCACCCTTGGCTTAATACAATACCATACCACCCTTGGTTTAATACAATACCATACCACCCTTGGCTTAATACAATACCATACCACCCTTGGCTTAATACAATACCATACCACCCTTGGCTTAATACAATACCATACCACCCTTGGCTTAATTAAATGTTGCTATCTTGCGAGTTTTGCTTTCAGCTAGGTTATGTCAGTTTTATGGTACAACTGTCTCCATTTTTATTTCGACAGTTCGGCCAGTTGGTATCGATTGGGAAAATCTATAATTTAACTTTCATTTTAATTCTTTCATACGTTGCCAAAATTGATTTATAGAGTTAAGATCTAGGCTCTGTATTGGCCATTGTTAGATGTTTATAGTGTTAATTTGAAATCAAAAAATTTATGGCATACATGTAACGTTATTCTTCTGAAACAAACCCTTGTCTTGATGATCACAAGCAGAAAAATTACTTTGACTGTTAGAAACTTGTTTATATAAATATGGGATTTCGTATCTAAAATATCAATACTCTACACAGAGCTTATATTTAGTTTTCATTCACCTGTGTCCACCTTAGCTACAGTAAAGTCACTGTACGTTTGTTGCAAAGGTGATTTTCAAACCTTTTTCACGATCCTAACAAAATAACGTTTGTCACTTTTCTCAGAACTTTGGTAATATTGATTTTGTTCTATATATTGTACGATCCAACTAAAGATGCAATTGATTCACCGTAGATCACGTGTGACCAAGCACTCCATATACTGACATTTCACACACTCTTAAATTTACGTCTTAGCTTCATGCTACCACTTGGACACTATTCATTTTCTTAGCGGAAGTTTCTCTGCATTTGTTCAGTGAGTTCCCACGCAGAGCATGCTGGGTGGACTATGTGATATGTTAAATGGTGCCCGGATGTCTTAAAAGTGCTCTGCACAGATATGTATATTTCGATGTTAGATGGGTAATATTTGTCTGAATAATTTTATAAGATTTCTTGAATTAATCACTGTCGTTGTAATTTTGGTATATACTGTTTTCTAAATAATTATTATGTAATCTAATTAGGCTTGTTTGTTTATTCACCATATGCACACAATGGGCTAAACGATCAAGTCAGGTATCTTTAGGGGTTTGGCATTGCTATCACTAATTTTGAGTCGTGGAGCAGAAGAAAGACAATCATGCCGAAGCACCTGCCACCTGAAGAGGCTACATTTAACATAATAGCATAATTTACTGTCACTTTTATAACACATATACAATTGAATGTGAAACGTGTTTCGTAGCATCGTATTTTGAACTCCAGCTCGATACGTTAACCACAAGGCCACGTTCAAGCCATCTTATAAAGAAGACGTTTTTGTTTGTGGATGAACATAGTTTGTTTGCTTTCTGTGTTCCGATTTTAGTGTTTGTTATTCTGTTATCTCATCTGTTGTTTTCTTTCATTATCACTGTATTCATTGCTGAATCTAAGGGAAGATATTAGTGTGATTCTTTATGTTTTCACGCCAGTAGTTTGATCAACTATTTTGATATTATGTGTATGTTAATGATTAGTGTGTTGTCTGTCAGTCAGTCAGTAGACATTAAAATGATGTCACATAAGGGACTCTTAACATTCTACTGTCGTGACGTCATTAAAACGTGCGCATGAAATGAATAACAAGAAGAAATATGCACTCTTTAGGATAAAACACAGCATGACATATTAACTTAGGAAAGCAACAAATAAAGATATTTGTTGCTCTTAATTTTGGTTTTATCTACTTTTGAAACAGAACACTTTCAGGGACCCTGCGGAAGTACATCTAGTATAAATTAGTCTAAGATCTGAATCATCGATAAAAAAAAATATATTTAAGCAAATAGGATTCCGTTTCTCATTAATTAATTTCAAATTATTTGATATTGTTTAATAGTTTCTTATAAGCTTATGTCCGGAATGATCGAAATGTTTTTTTTACATTAAGTTAAACTAGTATTTTCACGACATTCTCGTATCTAAAACTTATTCCTAAGAAAATTTAGAATTAGCATTCTCTAATTTTTATTTATTTTTACTTATAAGGTTAGCAAAATTAAAATTAAGATTTTGAAATTTCATATTTTATTTATTTCTATGACCTGTTTTATGAATAAATTTATACATGGTTAATTGTTTGGATTCCAGTTTAGAGAAGTTTATTTCGAAGCTATTAATTATCTCGAATTGATTACCTACTAATTAACGACAAAAGAAAAAAAATGCAAAGTAATATAAAATGTTTGATATTTTTTATTTCTTCTTACTCTTTCGACTTCAAATAATCTAATTAACTAAGTCAATTAATAAATCTCTATGTAATAAATTAAAAGCTAAGTTCACACACGACTCTACTTTCTTCAGTTTAAGTTTAACATTGCTTTATATCAGACTTCTGAGTAATGAAGTTAAAGGTAATGTTTTCATGTTTTGTTTATTTTCTGTAATGTTTCTTGTATCATTGTTACGCATGTTGACTAAGGAAGAGAGTAAGTACTTCAAACATCTAATAAAGAGCTGAAAGGTATATACAATTAAACATTCCCTACATACATTTAATCGAATAGTATATAAAAGATAAAAGCTTTTTGCAAGATTATATAATTTAAGGGTAGTGTTTTTTTTTGCATAAAGAGCTTCAAGGGAAAGATACTTTTGTAAAGAATGTGCAATAGAAAAAAGCCGAATATGCCGATAGGTTAATGATGGCATTAACAAAGAAAGTCTTCATTTGTTTCAGAATATTGTGTCTGAAATGGTGCAGTGCTGTTGGAAATGCGTCAGATGTAAGGATAACGCATTCGTGATCAACGAAACCACTTGTCAAGAATGCTCTCCGGGTTACTGGCCCAACGAGAATCTAACAGGTATTTCCACAAATATAGGTATACACACACACACAGGAAGCAATAATTTATGAATCACATAAAAAATATATTACCATATCAATTTATATGTATATTTATTTTTTTTCTTTTGCGCATACCATTGTTTATATAAATCAAATACACAAAACTTTCAATCCAAATTTCATCATCAACACAGTTCTATTTTCTGTCTCCTTTTTAGTAGACAATGAAAGAAAGCAAGACTTATTTAATTTTATAGTATCTATAAATTTTCGGTTTGCTCTTCCAGTAAAGTATGTTTTCCTTGAAACGTTTTTACCTTTCTTTAGGTTGTGATGAAATCCCTGTGGAGTATATACACTGGTGGGATACTACAGCTGTTGTGTCTATGTCCATCGCTTGCCTGGGATTCGTTGCAACGTTCGTAGTGATGATTGTATTTATTCGTCACAACAATACTCCTGTTGTCAAGGCATCCACCAGAGAACTCTCTTATATTATAATGGTGGGAATGTTTCTATGTTACGCTACAACAATAGTACTACTTGCCCGACCTACAAAGACGTCCTGTTTTCTCTCGCGTGTATTGCCTGGGTTGAGTTTTTCTATGATCTACACAGCTCTAGTCACAAAAACAAATCGCATCGCTCGCATTCTTGCAGGAAGTAAAAAGAAAATAATCACGAAAAAACCGAGATTCATGAGTGCTACAGCTCAAGTTATCATCACTTTAATACTCATTTCTATTGAAGGAACAATCATTGCTACCATGCTTTTCTTGGAACCTGCAAACTCGAAATTAATTTATCCAGCAATTGACAGAGTTCAGCTAACCTGCAATACTACAACTCTAGGAATAATTGCGCCGCTAGGATTTGATTTTTTCCTGATTGCAATGTGTACAGTTTATGCCGTAAAAACTAGAAATGTGCCAGAGAACTTCAATGAGGCCAAGTTTATCGGTTTTACAATGTACACAACGTTGGTGATCTGGTTGGCGTTCGTACCTATTTATTTTGGTAGCAGCTCAAAGGTCATTACAATGTGTTTGTGTATCAGTTTTAGTGCAATCGTTGCCCTTGTTCTTCTTTACGTTCCTAAAGTGTACATAATTATCTTCCGGCCGGAAAGGAACAATAGAAGCGCTTTCACAACAACAAAGGATGTCCGCTGTCATATTGGATACCTTACTTCAGGTACTACAGGAGTATCAAGAAACTCTTCCCAGACCACTTCAGACTTTAGTCTCGAGTCTCCAAGGTAACATACATTTATACAAACTAAACAGCTTTATCCACTAGTATGTGCAATCCAGTTGAATTGATATATATATATATCTGTATATTATAATTAAATAGCATACACCTAAGTTATACAGACAATACAGATGTATTAAGAAGAAGAAAAACGACAGAGGAAAGATAACATCTTTCTCTATAATATGCTTGTTCTGCATATATGCTTTCCTGTTTACCTATTTCTTTGAAATACATAATATAACACACATATATATACATAAACATACACACACATATGCTATGTATGTTCAAAAGGCTGGTAGGCGTGGCCAATGTTTAGCGTGCCTGGACTGTGAATCCGAGGATTTCTGTTCAAATATAGAGATGGCCAGCGTGAATAGCCTTCATGCAGTTTTGCGCAAATTCCAGCAGAACAAACGAATAATGAATTTGAAATTTCTTTTTAGCCTATATTGTATTAATGCACACGCATGTATTTTATCTCCGTATAAATATATGAGTAAAATAAATATACATGAATATTAACATATACATATATATATACATACATATAGTGTAATATCTACTATAAGAAGGCTAAGATTAACATTTCCAAACTTCTAGTAATTTTGGTATTCAAACAAATAGACGTTTACAAATATATATATTTGTTTTTGTTATTTGAGTATCAGAAATATTTTTTTCATTTGTATATGTTTAAAAATCTTGTTTCTATTCTTCGATTTACTTTTGTTTAGGGATTGATACTGACAAACATAACTATTAGTGATCTTAGAGTTAGATGTTAATGCCCTGAAATAAGCTTATAGCTGACTTTACGTATTTATTTGTCAAAATGATATTATATGTGCAATAAAACTGAGATTTAAGACACCGTGACTATTCAGACGCATAGGTATTCAATAATATTTTGCAATATTAATTAATGCTATTTATTTATCTATACGCAATTGTTTGTTTGTAGTTGCTCTCCCAGTGGCACAGCGGTATGTCTGCGGACTTACAACGCTAGAATCCTAGTTCTTTGGAAAGTAAGGCTGAACTCTTGTAAATAAGTTTGAAAAGAGAGAAGTGAGTTTGTCAATCACATAAAGCCCCTCCCAGTTGCACAGTGGTATGTCTGCGCTAGAAACCGGGTTTCGATGCCCGTCGAGGGCAGAGCACAAATACCCCATCGGGTAGCTTTGTGCTTAACTACAAACAATGTTTGTTTGTTTGTTTGTTTTTTTAATCAAGCACAAAGCTACACAATGCGCTATCTGTGCTCTATCTGCTATCTTTTCCATATTTAATCTGAAACACGAACTACCATATTCATTTATTGATATATTTTTGTATCACGATGAAATAATATATAGTTTAAAACCAATAAAATAAGATTTTACTTTATATTGTAAAAACAAAAAGTGAGTATAATAATGTTTGTATCCAGCGTTATATTGTATTATTTTCTAAAATACACATAGACTTAAGTGCTAGAAAATGATAAACCTCGTGTAGCTTTGCGCGAAATTCAAAACAAACAAACTATTCGCACCATTAAGTATGAAAACAGACGATGATTCAACACTATCAATTTCCTTTACAATCTTAAACACCTCAATCAGATCCCTTTTAACTCTTCTTGTTACAAGAGAAAACTATTTTAGAGATTTCAACCTCTTCTCGCATGACAACCTCTCCACCTCAGGCACAATTCAATGTCTTTCTTAAGGTAAGGAGCCCAAGACTGAGCACACTATTCCAAACGTGGCCTAACCAGTGACCTATACAATAAAGTTATAACCTCTTTAGATTTATATTCAATATTTCTATAAATACAGTCGAAAATTCTATTTGCTCCACTACTAGCAACAACACACCGCTTGGATGGCTACAGAAATTATACTTATAATTCAAATTATGATAGCCCACTTACATTATCTTACATTTATCATAATTAAAACACATCTGCCATTTATTCTCCCAACTCACTAAATGATCTAAATCATTTTGTAAATCAGCATCAGCATCCTCTTCACAGCCAGCCATACCAAAACCTTAATAACATTAGCAAATTCAAGTATTTTCTTGACCATTCCTTCATCTATGTCATTGATGTAAGTCAGAAAGAGGAGAGGTCTTAAGACTGAACCATGTGGTACTACACTTGTGACATCAATCGAATTTGACTGAACTCCATCTATAACAACCCTCTTCTTTCTTCCATCCAGCCACTCTTCTATACAATTAGCTAACTTATCTCCCATACCTACAGAGAGAATGTTTGTTACAAACCTTTTATGTGGTACCTTGTCAAGTGCTTTCTGAAAATCCAGATTCACCAAATCTTACCCTCATCTACTGTATAAGCAGTAACATTTTCAAGGAATGTCAAAAGATTTGTAAGGCAATATTTTTCCCTTAGTGAAACCATGTGGACTAAAATTATAAACTTTGTTAAATGACTTTGCAAAGCATCTTTTAACAGACTTTCCAAAACCTTTCCCAAAACTGATGTAAGACTACTAATGGGTCTATAATTATGGGACAATTTTTATCACCTCCATTGAAAAGAGGAGTGAAATTAGCCAACTTCCAATCCTCTGGTACCTTCCCACTATTTAAGGATTGACAAAAATATAGCAAGTGGGTCACATATCCAATCCTTACCATTTTTCAAAATCCTTGGGGGAATATTATCTGGTCCAGGAGCCTTATCGTTTTTTAAACTTCCCAATGTTTTCTTAAGAAGCTCAGAATTAATGTGATCATCTTGTTCGATATTGTTTCTATCTATCAATTGTCCAAGAACAGGAATATTGTTTAAATCTTCATTAGTAAAATTAATCTCATTACCTTGAGATATGGGCCTTTCTTTATCATCCCTCAAAGGTCTTACTCAATCCTAACATTTTGTTGATCCTTAATGTATTCAAAGAAATCCTTACAATTAACTTTTACATTTTCAACTAACCTTTTTTCGTACACCCTTTTTGATGTCCTAATTTCCTGTTTCACCAACTTTCTTGATCTTCTGTAATCTGTTAAATCTCCCGTCATACCAGTCAATTTAAATTTCTTAATTTTGTGATGCTTTTTTCAAATTTTATCCCTTATACCTTTTGTGAGCCAACCTGGGTTTTACTTGCAACCACTCTTTTGTTTCTATAAGAAATATAGTTATTTTAAGACTTAAAAATTGTATATATTTGACCAGTGTCACCAACTAACTCATCTGCCCAATTCACAAAATATAAATGTCACATCCTTTCAAAATTTACTTTTCTGAACTTTGTTACCAAAATATCATTATTCCTGATCTCCATATGCAGCAAAACATCGAACTTAATAGAGCAATGATCACTTGCACTCAGATGTTCCCCAATTTCTACCCTTTCAACCATATCTATATTAGAAGTTAAGAATAAATCTAAAATAGCATTATTTCTATTAAGTTCCTTGACTAATTACTGAAAAACCCAGCTTGACCAGTTACCAAAAATTTTTCTCCCTCATGGTTTGACTCTAACATTTCCCAGTCTATAAGCACGAGATTAAAACCAACCATAATTATGACCTCATTAACAGTTGCAATTTTGATCACTCTGTAAAGTTTCTCATTAGTTTTATCAGTATCGTCTGGTGGCTTGTAACAAATTCTCACTAAAATCCTTTTCCTTATATATCAGCTAATGGAATCCTAAATGGATTCGACCTCCTTGCTATTATCTTTGGTATCTTGAACTTTAACAGGATGTAAGTTACATTTTACATATAAAGCCACTCCTCTCCCTCTCTTTAGTACTATATACCTATTAAATAACCTATAACCCTGTATTTCAAAGAAATTCTTGTCTTCAAAATAATCTACATTTAAACATGTTTCAGTTATTTCCATTATATCAAAATCTCCAATTCCTACCAGCACTCTAAATTCAACTATTTTATTCCTTATACCTCTAGCATAAAATAGTAGCAATTAACCCTCCCTTGGAACTACTTCTATATTCATTCCCTATGTTAAACTTTGCTCTATATCTTTTTTTTAGCATTTAATATATCCTTGCCGTCACCACTGTCTATTCCGAGTTTAAATCTTCCCTCACAGCTGAGTTTAATAGCCCTTGGAATAAGCCAGCTTCTACGATATTTAAATGTAAACCATCTTTTCCAAAATGCTACCTTCTCCCATTAAACTGATCTCACAAGTCCAATCAGCCATTCTGCTCATTCTTACATATTAACCTAAGCCTAGCATTCAGCTCTAGTGACCTATATATATATATATTTTCATTCACACAATTGATTCTCGGCAGTATCCCTGACATAATTAACTTATGTCCTTTTCTTTAAATGCTTTTATCAACTTATCAATTAGCTCCCCTGACCTTCCTTTTCCTATATCATTAATCCTTACGTTCACAACAAAAACTGCATCATTGCTAGCCCTCTTCAATGCACCTTCAACCGTTTAATGGAACATTTCTCCTGATAAAAGAGTCAGAGTTATAAAACACTTGACGCAAATTTTATAAAAAAACAATAGTTGAGAAATGACTATATTTAATTACACTTTTCTAATATTTACTCTTCTAGTAGAACACAAACATTTCAATAAGATATCTTTATGTAGTTCAGTTAGTAATGTTTTAAGATAAGTGTACATGCTTGCATTAAAACTCGTGTGTGAAAGAACATTGAATAGAAGAAAGTAAACGTTGTGTTGACATATTCAAATTAGATAGAACCCGAATAAGTATTTTGTTTGTTTGCTTTTCTTCCTCGATCATCTGCGCATTATTAAATAATGTCTCGGTGTGTGACACGTCTTTTCCGACAATTCTCTTTTTGTGGTTGATTAGTTTCTTTAGCAAGTAACTTTTCGTTGATCTCATGGTAGTTGCACACAGACGCGCCTGACATGTCTTGTGGATGTGACTTTTTTACGAAGTGTAGAAAAGTTCTCATAACTATGTCTTAAATCAAAGATAGTCCTAAAAATCTACATCTTTGTCAAGT